GTGAACATGTCATGCCATCAACTCAAGTCATGCCGCGATGTCAGCACTTCTCTGGCGCTGAAAATCTTTTTATAGCGGAACAAACTAAGTTAATCTCAAATAACTCACACTAAGTATTAAAAGCATTTTATAAATACGTTCGTATTATTTCTGTATTTTGTTTACATCATGTTCTCTGAGATTTATAAACAGGTTTTTTTGTCTAGCCAATCACGTCACTTCATGTGACTGCTAATTATAACTAACCAATATGTGCTTGGTACAAATTTTGTACCAAAGGAAGAGAGATTTGTATTGCGTGCCACCAGAGGTTCTCTTCTCCTCGCGTAAAATAAATGCGAGCTGGAATATTAAGGCGAAAGATACAGAACCTCTATAGCAACAAGGGTATATGGTATTGAGCACTTTTTGTGTTTCAAACCAAAAACTTAAGCTATATATATATATATATATATATATATATATATATATATATATATATATATATATATATATATATATATATATATTACTGCCTACTGAGCACTGCTTACACTGCAAAATTCGATTTGCAGGAAGCCGTTTGCCGTTGGCAAAGTTCGTGCCTTTATTAACGAACAATCGAACAATTGACAAACGAACAATCAAAATAATATTACTCCCTCAGATGATAGTAATATACAGAGGTTTAATTCCATTGAAAACGATAATGCCAATAATGCTAATAGCCCTCTGGGTAATGATGTAAATAGACAACAGTCACACGCTAGCGGCTCTCTTTTTCCTAAACTTAAAGGTTTTAAAGTATGTCATCTAAATATAGCAAGTTTGATAAAACACTATGATGAGCTTTTGCTATATATGCAAAACAAACTTTTTGACATTATAACGCTTAACGAAACTAGATTAGATAGTAGCGTACTAAACGGTGAAATTGAAATTCCTGGTTATGATATTGTTAGGCGTGATCGAAACAGAAGCGGAGGAGGTGTTGCAATGTATATTAGAAGCAACATACCATACACCATTCGCAAAGACCTCTTCCCTGATAATTTAGAGTTGATTTGCATAGAAATTAAAAAATTTAAAAGTAAACCTCAGTTAATTACAACATGGTACAGACCACCAAATTCCAGCGTTGAGCTGTTTAGCGAATTTGAAAATTTTTTAAAACTACTTGAGGACGAAAATAAAGAAATTATCATAACCGGAGATCTCAATTGTAACATTCTTGAGCAGAACAAAAGTTTGCCTACTTCTAAACTAATTGACCTGATTGACATTTATCAATTACAGCAACACATACAGTGTCCCACGAGAATTACTAATACAACAGCATCACTACTGGATGTTATCCTCACTTATTATGGTGATGATAAAATATTAGATACAGGAGTAATACACCTTGGTATCAGTGATCATAGTCTTGTTTATCTGTGTCGAAAGCTCAGCATTCCTAAGGCGCCACCAAAAAACTGTCTTTACTAGACATTATAAAAATTATAATGTTAACCAGTTTAACAACGATCTAAGTGAGGTTTTTAGTTTGCCCTTGGATTCAGCTATTTTAACTGACCCAAATGCCTTATGGGACGATTTTAAAAATAAGTTTTTGAGCGTCGCAGATAAACATGCACCAATCAGACAACGTCGTGTCAAGAGTGAATATAATCCGTGGCTGACAAATGAAATTAAGCAAATGAGCTATCGTAGGGATTACCTTAAAAAGCAATCGATTAAATTAAGATCTGCGTATTATGATAAGGCTTACAAGAGATGTAAAAACAAGTTAAATAATCTCATAAAAGAAACTAAACAAGAATACTTTGGAGATAAACTAAGCAATGCTAAAAATAGCAAAGAAAGTTGGCGAACTATTAACGAATTATTAAACAAAAGCCTAAAACTTCAGAGGTTAAAGAACTAGATATAAATGGCCAACTTATTACTGACGATGATAAAATTGCAGATGCCTTCAATCAATATTTTTCCACAATTGGCAGTACGTTGTCTGACAAGATCACAGGTAACTGCATTGATCCAATGAACTTTGTGACTCCTCTTGATGGTAGTATATTCAACTTTACAAGCATTACACTCCAAGAAACAATAGATGCACTCAATGAAATTAAAACTAAGAAATCTTCAGGGCTTGATGGTATTAGTATAAGGTTACTAAAAGATGCATCTAACATTGTGGCAGGACCACTAGTGAACATATTCAATGTATCCCTTCAAAGAGCAATTTTCCCTAATGAGTGGAAATTAGCAAAGGTGACCCCCATATTTAAAGAAGGAAATAAGGCAGACTGTGAAAATTATAGGCCAATATCTGTTATTTCAGCTGTAGCTAAACTTTTCGAAAAACTGGTATACCTGCAGCTAAGTTCATTCTTGAGGTTGAATGGCATTCTTGTGGAACAGCAGTCTGGCTTCCGTCATCAACATTCTACTGAAACTGCACTGCTTAGTTCTACAAATGAATGGTTGTTCAATATGGACAGAGGTTTACTTAGCGGAGTTTTATTTCTAGACCTTAAAAAGGCTTTTGATACTGTCGACCATCATATTCTTTTATCAAAGCTTGAATTATATGGTATCAAAGGAACTAGCCTAAAATGGTTCGAATCATACGTTTCTGGTCGAAGCCAAATATGCTCTGTGAATGGCAAGATGTCAGCTGTTAGACAAATAAAATGCGGGATACCTCAGGGCTCTACCCTTGGGCCTGTTTTATTCCTATTGTACATAAATGATCTTCCTAACTGTTTAGAGACAACTAAAGCAAATCTTTTTGCTGATGACACAAGCCTTTCTTGTGAAGGGTTTAGTCCATATGAAATTGAGATCAAACTTAATAAAGACATTGAAAATGTTCATAGGTGGTTGACAGCTAACAAGCTCTCATTAAATATGAAAAAGAGTGAATTTATGATAATAGGATCAAGACGTCGCTTAGCTTCAATTGAAAATAGCCCAGTACTAACATTAGGGGGAAACAACATTAAGCGAGTTTACCAAAAAAGTCACTAGGCATGATCCTTGACGACCAGTTAAAATGGAATAAACATAATGAAATGCAATGTAAAACAATTTCAAATAATATCGCCCTGCTGAAAAGAGCAAAATTGTTTGTCAATAGAGATAGTCTGATAAAAATCTACAATGCCTTAGTGTGGCCTCATTTCAATTATTGTTCAACAATCTGGAATGATGGATGTTGTTCGATAATTGATAAATTGTTTATACTGCAGAAGAGAGCAGCGCGTGTGATAACAGGGGACACATATGAGGTTCGTTCCATGCAAACGTTAGATAGTCTTAATTGGCTTCCAATAGAAGAACTTCTAAAACAACGACAGTTAATAATGACATTTAAAGTACTAACTGGTCGATTACCTCGATACCTTGAAAAATTGTTTTCAGTAAGTCAAAATGACAATTACAATCTAAGAAGCAATCAAATTAAATTGAACCTACCCTAACCTAAGACAAATTTTCTCAAACGAAGTTTCTCGTATAGAGCTGCTAAGTCCTGGAACGAACTTCCAAGTGAAACTATTGAAAATTATAACAATCTTTCCATTTTGTCGTTTAAACGGCAATTACTTAATTCATCCGTATCAATTCATTGTAAATAGTTATATTCTTTTTGTCCTTTTTATATTATTGTTGTAAACACACGGCCCTTTGAAAACCAGCGCTGTAAATATTATCTGCTGAACAGGCTACCGTGTTTAAATAATTTTATTAAAGATAAAGATTAAAGATTATTATACGTTAGACATACGTTATCATGCGCTATATATATCAATACGCTGGCTGTGCTGTACACCTTCGTACCCGCGCGTATGACCAGCGTACTCGACCTATCTGATACCGCAGATCCATGCAGCGTGGCCTACCGTATTCTGCGTTTGGCTAGAGTTTGCTTAGCGTATAAACCATACGTCCGAAAGCGCACAAAGCTATTAAGCATGCTTAAAATCAATTTTCTGCCTCGCCGTATGTCTGCGTATGCCACCGAACTTCAAAAGCGTATACAACCTGTGCCTAACGAACCCCTGGCGTATGTCAGTGTATCCCAGCATAGGAATGATATTTTCCATACGCTGGCATACGCTCATACGATAAATTAAGGCTCTGTCACACTATTTCGTATCCTACTAGCGTACATGTGCCAGCGTATGAGAAATATCACTTATAGTCGTACGGTATAAAGCGCTGACACACGCTTAAACAAAGTTTTAAGTATAGTGGTGCAATGCTGTGGAATGGTCTTCCTTCTGAGGCGAAAAAAGGCATCTTTGCTTTACCAATTTAAACGCAGTATGTCCACTATACCAGAGACTTAGGATGTGAGTTAAGATAGTTTGCAGGTATAAAACGCCCCATCTGAAAATCAACAGATTGTATTTTACAACTATGTTGTCTATGGCCATGAGCGTGGCTAAATAAATCTGTAAGTAAGTAAGTAAGTATTAAGTAAGAAGGTAAGTTTATTTACTCCAATATATAGGAGTCATTTTGTCTCCAAAGGAGTCGACTAAAAACCAATTAGTCGTTTGGTGTAAATTTTGTCTTTTTTAACTTCAGTATTTGGATTAATTTTTACTCTTTAATTTGAGTAAAAACAACTCTACTTAAGGTGGCTCCCTACAGTTGTCCCTATTTGCCCAACATCTCTGCAGTACAGACCTATTAATGCAAATCGTGCATTCTTTTCTACTTGAAGGCAATATCTAACATCATTGGAATATGTAGAACTCGGTTTTGACAATGTCACTGTTGCCATGGAAACATGGCGAAGTTATAAAACCGGCTTATTTTACCCACAAAATTGTCTTTGCTGTATCTGAAAAATAGATCTGGTGACCTATCTTTTATATTTCATATATCAATCGAGCATGATGTTCTGCAACTATTGAGAAAATTTAATTAACTTCTCTGCAGTGCGATTTTTTTAATAGCGAAAATTTAATAACGAGGTTTCCACTGTAAAGAATTTTTAAAATTTGAAATATATAAAATTTACTAAATTTAAAATTAGTGGCCAAAATTTGAGGTTAGGTTACCGATAAAAATAATGTGTAAAATACAATTCAAGTTGTAAAAAACCCTCGTGTAACTCGAGAAATTCCCCTTATATAAAAGCGTCGCTGACTAGTGAAAGATTGTACGCGGGCGCAGAACGAGCTTTCATTCAGCAAAATCGAGTGGCATTGTTTTATTGATTTTACTGTTTTGTTTTCAACTTTTCGATTTATTGCTAAAAATGAACAAGGCTATGAAAGTGATATTTTTTCTGTTTACATGTAATCACTTTAATCTTGTAGAAACACGAAATTATTTCTAAACGACTTTATTTCTAAAATTATTTCGAAATTATTTCTAAAAGTTTGTGTACAATTTAGTAAATGTTTTACAATTGACAGAGTATAATTTTTAAAAAATTTAAAAAATTGCTTCGTAGCTAGCTTTTTGGTCAAGTGATATTGTATCATATGCAAAATTGCTGTATAGACTCGCAATTGATTTGGCACTCAAAACGAAGTATCATTCAACGCATTTTTTTTTAAACCTTTCAGAAATTAAACAGCATTTGTTTTTAAAAATGCCCGGCCAATTATTGTTTTGTTTTGATTGTGTTTTTGCGTGGGGATAATGCACTCGTCGCGAACATCTCGCATGCTACTGTAGGGAGCCTCCTTCCACTTTTGGAATCAGTTTGATTCCTTGAAATTAACAGTGTAAAACATTGCTATTGGTTAATTACACACGCAAAAACCTCACATATATATATATATATATATATATATATATATATATATATATATATATATATATATATATATATATATATATATATATATATATATATATATTGTAACTGCTTAGTGTAATTTCTCACATCTTATCCCAAGTTGTTAACAAGTTTGGAACAAGCTGTTAACAATTTGTCACAACCTTGATTTTATTACCAAGCTTGTTACAAGGTTGTTCCAACACGTCCAATGATATAGCAGTAATCCAGTATTGTTACAACCTATATACTAGTGTCATCAACCTTGTAATATTCAACTTGTTTATCATGATTCATGACTGTATCACACTTGTTAGAGCAACCTTGCGACAAATCTGAAAATGCCATCAAGCTTGTTACAAGTTGTTAACCGGCATCTTGATCCAAACTTGTTACAACAACTGGAAACAAGCATGCAGTGCGAAGACAACTTGTTGACAGCTTGTGAACATATTTGTAACAACTTGTTTGCAGACTTGTAACAACTTGTGCGTTTTTGCGTGGGTAGTTGGGCAAGAATGCAATACACACGTGACGGTGAAGGTCCAGATTTATGAATAAACGTTGACTAACATAGATAATGAGTTATATTGTTATTCTAATGAGTTTCACAGTCATCTTTCCTTCGATTTGGTTGAGTCAGGAACTCTGAAAGAACTTCACTTACGTCAGATCTGTACAGGGGTGTGCAAATAAAAGGCACTTGCCATTATTATTACTTAAAAGGCATAAACACACTCTATTTCATCTATATTGTTGTAACAGCTGGTTCAAAGTCGTGAACATGCATTTATTTTTGCGATACTTGAGAAGCGTAGATGTTAAAAGGTCCTAAAAGGTCAAGGATCTTTTTGTGGTTTATTACAATTATGTTTCGCTCGCTACTCTGGTTTAAATAAAAACCAGAGTAGCGAGCGAAACATGATTGATATACATGGCTGCAGTGAACGAACAAACTTATTACAATTAATTTTAAAATGCTTTTAGCAATAGTAGAGTGTATAATTGCTCATAGCAGACAAGCTGTCTGTATCTTTACATCATCTCTCCTCGGGAGACCAAATGGAAATGATTTAAAAAAGAACCTCTTTGTTCTGAATCATCGACTTGTTGTTTAGATTATGGGTGACGGCAAGGGTTGCAAAATAATAATGAGAATTAAAATAAAAATCGGCTTCTTACTCCTATTTCCTACTGACTAGTTTGCCAGCGACGTAAGCAAGAGCCCTACTATTTTGGTGGCAGGGGGAGGGGAGAAGCGACCGCCAATGGCGTGAGATCGGTCGGGCCTCCCCCGGGGAAAATTTGAAATCTAGACTCCCAGAAATGCGATTTGAAGCATTTTGGGAGTGAAATTAAATTCTGAGGAAATTAACTCCTCGGAACTAAATGAATTGCATGGAAAAGTCAATTTGGAAAACTGAAGGAGGGGTCGTAATCAACTTATTAACCCTCTGTGCGTGATGCCGGGGAAAATCCCAATGTGATTTTGATCGGAAATTTTGCATTTATATAATCTAGGTTCTATGAGATACCATTTATCGCATTCTCAAAATTGCACTACTTTTCATAAGACACAGAATAAATCTGAGAAAAAATATCATGCTTGTTAGAACCATATATACAAATGCTTTAATGAGATTTTACACATATATGAAGCTTCTCCAGTAAATCGTCGTTGCCCTATTTCGAAACTTAGTTAGTTTTAGCTTCGAAGATGTATCGCCTATCACCCCGATTTCTCTACGGATTTAGACTTTATGAGAGAATGGTTTTGCGTCTCTGGAAACATTGTTCTTCATAATCATCCCCAAGCAATGAACAAAGCTAAATAACCTAAAGCAATGTTTATAATTTTTTTCTGTAAAAACGATTCAAAATCATGACAGATTAAGGCAACTAAGGCCGAAAATTTACCTCATTAATGCGACACTTCAGTGATTATTGAGGACGTTTTGTATACGTGTAGATCCGGTTTCTTTCTTTGAATAAAATTAGCTTCATAATATCTCTATACTATAATTATATCGCCCTTGCATGGCTATGTCACTAATGTATGGCCATATCTGATATTATCCATGCGAGTCATAAAAAAACGATTTTCGGAATGAGACTTATTCATACGTACGTGTAGTGCTGCATGCATTTTTCTGGGCATACTTCACATTAGTTATGCCCGAGCGGATTCAATCGAGGGTGAGGGTTGTCAGTCACGCGATCTTTGTTAACTCTTCTTTATGCTTTTCAAGTACTATCACATTCAAACATAACTAGCTGAAACACTCATCAAAAGTTTTGTTTTAAATGGTTAATTTAGACCTTAAAATGTCTCCCGTACTAATACGTGACTGACTGATTGACTGACTGACTGCCAACTTTCATTAACTCTCATTCTTCTTTGTTTGAGCAGTTGACTTTTTGGGCAGTTGCGCACGATATATTTTGATTCTATATTTTGTGTGGACAAACTATTTAAAGCATTTTGTTAATAGACATTCCCAGGGAAAATTACCACATGCAATCAACACCTAATCTCGAACCACTGCTAAGAATGAACTAAATATGAAGCTTAAACAAAACCGGCCGCTGACAGTAGCTCAGAGTTTCATGTCCAATTCGGAAGATTCAAGGCCTTCGCTCGAAACGTTTCTTGTATTAATTTCTCTGGTAGTTAGGCTACCAACGAAATTTTGTTATTTTTGGCACTACCTACACTGAGACCGGTCATGCTTTCTAATTACTAGCACACTTCTAACATTTGTCGTTGATTTTAAAACTTCTATACCTGCTGTCATCGTAATTAATATTATATTAAATTATAGTATAATAATGAATTTGATACAGGTAATAAACAATACCGAGACTTTCTATAATGGCTATAATATTGATACATTTATTGAGATCAACTCATACCTGACAGGTGACAGTAATCTTTGCTAAAGTTGATGACAATCTTCTCAGCTGAAAGCAATTACTGGCATCTGATTACCCAGGTAATGGTTTTATACTCTTTGGCTGCAACTAATGTACGAATGTACATAAAGCACTTTTGTGTGACGAAACAAAGACCAGTCTGACGTCGCGAGCACTGCGAATGGTCTATTTGTGTCAACTTGTGTCAATCTTGAGGTGTGTCTCGCGCAATATGCACGACAGTTGGTCGAGTTTGGGTAATGTTGAGTGTCGAGGGTCGAGCGTCATAGGTCGAGGGTCATAAGTCGAGGGTCATAGGTCGAGGGTCATTAGTCGAGGGTCATGGGTCGAGGGTCAAAAGTCGAGGTCGAGGGTCAAAAGTCGAGGGTCGAAAGTCGAAAAGACTAAATTTTATATCCACTTTAAAAGTTTTACAACTATTAAACGCGGCAAAGCAATTAGTTTTGCTGTCAAAACTGAAAAATTTCGCCTATGGCTATGCCGTATGGCTTTGTACTGTATAACTGAAAGTTTCGCTTGTGGAACTAAAAGTCTGATGAGAGGTTCCATGTTAGAAAGCATACATCTCTTATTTTACATTGGAGTTTAAAATATACAAACGGACGATTATACAAAAATGGCCTGGCGTTTCACTCTCATGAAAAATTTGATTATAGGCCGATATGTTATCTCTTGGAGGCGAAAGAGTTCTGAAATTTTCAGAACTTCAACTTAACGATACTCCTCATACACCCACCGGGCACACGACGTTGTTTCAACGTTGAAATTTGGTAGAAAAATGTTGCGACGTCGACAACCTAATATCTACGTTGCTCTTACGTTGTTTTACAAACATTGGTTGGTTCAACAGCAGCTAACAGACGTTGAATTAACGTTCATTCATGGTTAAATGTACGACGTCGATTTGTGAACCAATCTCAACGTTGTTTTAACGTGGATTCAACGTTGAATTATGGTTGACGAGATTGGCAACCTAATTTCAACGTTGTTTCAACGTCGAAACAGTAACGGCGATCCAATTTGCATAGTCAACCCTTTTTCAACGTCCATCCAACGTCTGGAAGGTCATTTCCAACGTTGATTCAACGTTGGATAAACGTCATTTTGCCCGCTGGGCAGTGTATGGTTTTTGAGGTTTTTAAAAGCGTTAGGGTGTGCGAGAACAGTTTATTTATTTTATAACATCATGTCTGCACCGGAAGTGCACATGTTCGATTGACAGTTTCATATTCATAATATAGTTGCGAGAACGTTGTAGTGTAATAAAATGGAAACTTTCTTTAGTTATTCTGCCAAAAATAACATGCACGAAGCACGAATCTTTATAACAAGGTGATTTTAGTCTGGTTCAGAATTATCTCACGACCATTGTGAGAGATTTTTGCTGCGCTGGGACTCGATTCGTTCTGATAGTACAATATATATAATATATTTTCGAATCACCCCACCGGCATCGTACGTTCTCGAATAGTTTTAGTAATTTTACATTTTCTCGAAAAACAAAAAGGAACCTAATTATGCCCTAAGGCATGTTAGCTGTACTAAACAGCAATAAAGTTAGTTATCAGGAGAACCTAATATTTCCCATTTTCGACCCTTGAATTTCGACCCTCGACTTTTGACCCTCGACCTCGACTTTTGACCCTCGACTTCAACTTTGGAACCTCGACCTATGATCCTCGACCCTCGACCTATGACCCTCGACCTATGACCCTCGACCTATGACCCTCGACCCTCGACGTATGACCCTCGACATTCGACCATTACCCAAACTCCAGTTGGTCTGAGCATAGTTAATATAATGAGAGGGTTTGGATGGCCGGGTCACGTGACAAAATAACTTATTGTTCTCGGTCACGTGGAACTTATAGTGCATGCTTCGAGGTGTTTACATATACGATAGTATAAGAGTTTAAGCCAAACAGAGCCTAAAAACATTAAATTTCATTGAATTTTCCGCGATGCCGGGAGCGAATTGCTCCATATCGGCTGTGGTACATG